GATACCATTCAAAAGCCATATCACGATCTCTAGTAGTTCCTTGACCAGAATAATAACAATCACCAAGTAAGTCTTCAGCAATTGAATAACCTTTTTTAGCAGCAGATAAATATAAACAATAGGCCTTTCTTTGATTTCGATTTGTAGCAATACCTTGATCATAAAAATAACCCAAGAGAGTTTTATATTTATCTTTATGAGTATTATTTAAAAGCCAATCAAATATTTGAACGGAATCAAGACATTTTGAAGTGAAATAATCCAAGATAACATCAACAGTTTGAGCCTCATTTTTTCCATCTTGTCTAGCCTTTATAAAATTATCACATAATTCATCAACAAAATTTCGAAGTACATCATTTAAATCACGGTTTATATAATTTAAATTGTGAAGAGAGATCGTAGAAGATCTTGAAGGTTTTGGACTGTGACACCTTGGAGGACTTGAGGAAGATGTAACAGAGGATTTTGAAGATTTTGTGGACTTTCTAGGAGTTTTTGAAAGACCAAGTGACGATGGAGAACGGGTCATTTTTTTTTTAAGTTTTGTAATACAATCTGTAGGATTATTGCAGAGATGTGTGATGCAAAAAGGAAAAAAAAAACTTGAAATCAAGATGGGAGTTGGTTTTTTCTTATACGAGAAGCAAAAACCGATTGAACTTTCAAATTATATTATAGCAATAATGATCTGGAATGTTGAAAAAAAGTAAAAATTGTCGGATAAATGGCTATGCGATTATTTTAATTTCATTATAAAATATACATGATCATTTAATCTCGTGAAAATCATGGCTTATTTTGTTAAAATTGATTACACATGGTTTCGCAAGCTTTTTTTTTTTTTTTAAAAAAAAAAGGAGATTACTACAGATAAATAATTGACAATATTTTACAATATTTATGAATAATTATTACTTACTAAATATGATAAAAAAATATGCATTAAGGAAGAATTATATTTCCAGTTTCAATTGTTTGAGATTTATAACCGAATAAAAATTAGGAAAACACAATAGAAAAAGAACGCCAAAACTTTTTACTATTAGGAATTTAGTCATGCAGATTGATATAATGTTTAGTTAGTTATTTTGACAAGGATTTTTTTGGGTTAATGATATGATAGAAATACTAGTCCTTTGACGGAAATTTGATGAAGAATATAATATTCCTTTGTGTAAAAATTTTATTTATAGCAATAATTTCTAAATACGTTTATGTGCTGTGTTCGGGGGCTTCCCTTTCTTCTCAGAAAATCATGCTATCTGCGGTTAGTTAGTTATACAAGGAAATTCCATACTTGTAAGGTTTCACCCAATTCGGAAACTTTTAAAAAATTAAGCATGAAAAATTCACCTATCACAATGCAAGCTTTGACAAGATGTGCAATCATCGACGTATAAATTTCCTTGTTTGTTATCGGAATTCGCTATAAGTATATGACCGAGCAAAATTAATTTGTGCGGACAGACTTCTCACATGTTCTAAGATTTTTCTTGTTACACGAGTGCACTGTCTATTGTAACAGATTAAATGAAATATTTATTAATAAACAACTTTTAAAAATCAGTGTATATGTATAAAGTTTGTTGGACTCAATTACGTACTACGTACGTACTTTATTTTAATCTCTTACATAATTCCCCGATATATTAAGATCACTGGGGATTATTATTATATAATAATTCAGGCCCCCGAATGCATTGAGAGTTGTGCACCGTGTTTGTTTTTAGGTATGATTACTGACTTCATGATTCACATGCATTTCAGAATCGTAAATATATATGTCCGTATGTCATGAATAGCAAATGAGTTTTTAATCCGGTTAAGATTAGCTAAATCGAATAGAAAGTTATTATTCATTAATTCAGTCAGTATTAAAAAATTTTGTTCAATGAGCAAAATTATTCAGTCCAAAACTGTGTTAAAAGAAAAAAACTTAAAGCCGAGTATTTGGTCATCATCGGCTTGATGGATTGATCATAAGATTCACTATGATCAGTTACAGGTTTTTGCTCTGCAGCACTCATGTACGTACGTACGTATGTAAATGGTTTTTTTTTTCAAGTAAAATGATAAAATATTCATAAGAGGTTAATCAGAAGAGGTTATTCATACGTAAAGAGGTTTAAATTATTTTTAGAGCATCACGTCATTATTTTACTATATACATTTTTACGCACCATCATACGTATTATTGTATATTTATAACAATGCCGTTAATGCAAAGTTAGGGTTATGTACGGCTTCATGCTCCTGATCACTTTGATGTAGGGTTATGAAGGGTTCTGAAAAGGATTTGCCCATTGGGTCAATAGACAATAGATACGATTTATGGAAATTCATTTGACCTGCTTTGACGGGATCATGCGGTAAAAAGGCATGAGCCTGCTATTCAATTTCGATTTACATTCATATTCATTCAAATTTACTCCTTTTGTACGTATACAAAACTATCCCAAATTGAATTAGTAAACTTTATACATAATAGCTAATACAATACGTAGATGAAATTTTTTCTAAACTCGTTGTATGATATCAACAAAAGAGATAATGCGTATTTCATTGTAGACTACATAAACTGCTTAGCATATGTAGTAAACTTGAAATTTTTTTGCAAATTATTGTGTTTTTTTTTCTATTCACATATATTTCTTATCTATATTTTTTATTTTCTATTATCCTTACAGCAAATGAAAGGAATAATTAGTTCATGAACATAGATTTCGTTACAGATCGACTCCAATTATAATGAACATTCATAATGAACCCTGAATATAACGAGCAGATCAGCACTCATTATAATAAATATCTATAATGTATAACGAGCTGCAAACCAATCTTATTTTTCGCTTCGGTCCTTTATCAGTTTCTGTTTCCTTGTAATGATAATAAGTTCATACAAATGCTTATATTTTGCGTATTCTGAATGCTTTAGAGTAAAACCATTAAATTAGTAGATGTAACTTTGGGTTAAGTAATAGGTCAATAATAAAGGTCAATAATAAAGGTTGTCGTCCAATTCCCATTCCCGGCAGGCTATTTACCCGACATTTGATTATGTAGTTGTAGGTTTATATTTTTAGCAAATTATCACCCTGTGTGATGTCGAGTCGTGTCGGGGAAATAACAATCGTGCTGTAACCATATTATATGGGTTAGGTGCAGAGAAAAGGGACAAATTGACAATTTTCAAAAAATTTTTTCTTGAGCTCAACTATCCAAAATTAGCCCAGAAAATTTTCTTAAGGAACAAATGCTATAGTAAAATTTTGTAAAGAATTTTTTATTACACCTGACGTGAGTTTCATAAGCAAAATTTAAAGAAAAAGCTCTTTTTTTTTTTACATTGCATGTGCAATAGATTATAAAATCTATATTTATGTCTCAAAATTTTGTTTGTAAACTACTTTTTGAACTCTAACAAAAATTTTTGCTAATTTTACTATTTACTATATTCTACTCTAATCTCTAATTCTTATTCTTACTCTAATATTAAAAAATTTAAATTTTATTTTAATAAAATTTATTTATTTTTGGTAATAATTATCTGTGATATATATTAGTTATTTTCTATTTTTAAATATGTATTTTATTTAGAAAATATATTATTAAAATTAATATTTATATTTTTATTTAAACATTTAAATTTTTTTTCTTAAAAGATCATGCTAATATTTTATTAAGATATTTAACTTCATAATCTGAGACTACAAAGATAGAATCTCCAAGTTCAACCTAAATAATATCTAAATATAATCTGTTCACATTATTGCAGTATAAATACTAAAAATAGAAACTAACTTGTCTTGACCCTAACCCTATAATAGAATATCACCAATTTGAAAATAAAATAATCTAAAAAATAACATTAAGAAAACTAAAACTATAAGGATACTTGCGCGATGCTTTACCTTGTTTGTAATAAATACACAAACATTACCACATCGGCAAGAGTAACGATTATTGAGAATTTAATATCAAATAAATAAATGACACATCTAGAATTGCGCGAAATAATGTGATCTAACCAAACATTTTTGTTGCATTACAGTATTTTTTTGATCACCACTGTACAGTTTGTTTTTATTCGAAGCTGTTCACGATAGTATCTATATCAAAGAAATCATAAACTACCAAATATCCATAACTACTAAATTCAGTTTTTACTTTAATAGAAGAAAAATGTTTTTTAAGTTGTTTTTCTATTATACTAACAATCTTTTCATTGCTAAGTAATGCATAGCCTTGTTTTTTAAATTCTTCATACCATTTTCCATTTTCATAATTATTAAATGGTTCGCAACAGGAATAACAGCCATCTCGCATAAATCCGACCTTGACTTCTGAGATAAACCTGCTTATCGCTTCATTAATAAAAGGTATCAATTTTTCACAAAATTTGTCGATTACTGTAACTCCTTGTTGTAAGTTATGGGCTGCACGTTTTTCAGAATCAATAGGGATCTTAAAATATTTATTTCCAATTCTATTGCCCATCTTGAAACTGGAAATTCTTTGGACTTGGATATTTCATCATTCCAGAGGATTTCACCTGTACGGTAATATTCTAGAATGTAATAAAATGCGTTAACATTTCAATCGATAAAGTACTCGTTACCACTAGGATTAATTGGTTTAGGTGCTTCAGGATTTTTAGGATTAAATAATTGTCCTAATGTTGTTTCTGGATAAGCAATTAAAGAACTACGAGTGGTTTCGAACTATAATAAAATTAAAGTTAATTTCTCACTTAAAACTTTTAATATAATTTTAAAAGAGTTTTGGGTCTTACTTTAATACCACCAACATTTAGGATTATTATTTTATCATTCATTTCGTTTTTTATGACTGTATTTTTAATGTGCTCTAGCAATTCTTCCATGTTTATCATTTATCATTAAAAAGTTCTTTTTTATATAATTTTTCACTTTAATGAGATTTCAACAAGAATATTTGTTTACCATAGTAATAGAATAAGTGTAGCATAAAGGCAATACAAGCAATTGATTATGTTGAGAAAACATGCAATTCGAGTTTCTCGAAAATTTAATTTTAATTACTATTCGAGTTGTATTTATGAGATAATTCAAGTGCTATTACTTAAAATAAATAAGCTTGTTTCCCTTAACCTGTGATTTTCTAAACCTAATTAATTGTATATCATACGTAGATATATTACAAGTTGTGCAAAAGTGGAATATTTTATTTAACTACTTCAAAACTAAATACTGTGAACAATGATTTATGCGATCCTGCTCCCTAATATAAAATATATTACAAATTACTAACGCGAATGGGAATTCTTTATCATATTAAGTAGCTTTTTTTTGCTATTTCAAATTACTTTATTTTTTATAATTAATATTTTGTATATACGAATGCTCTTCTAATCAAATTTGAAACTTCATATACTTTTTTGTTAATATCATATATATATTTTTTTGAGATTATTTTGTATATCTAGTTTATATACTTAAATAATCAATTTTGTACAAATAGACAGTCAATTTTGTACATTTGGACAGTCAAATTAATACAAATTACACAAATTAATATCTTGTGATCTACATAGTAATCATAATCTCATAATTGTGGTATGTACGGTACTACTGTATTAGACTCATCTCTATGAATCTAATGGTATCAAAATCATAATATTATAATTACTAGATCGATAAAAATTCTTAAACTTCGTTAAAGTTAGTGTAGTGTTTATATTATGGTTAGATATTTAAGTAAAATCGCTCAAGGAAAAATTTTTGGTTAGTGGGCAAAACTTTTACTACTTTCAGCTTTTAAACCAGCCTTTCGGAACTACTATGTCTAAATCATGTCCAATGTCCAAATATTCAAAAATTAATATATTAATTTAAGAAATATATGAATATATATTTTTTAAAATAAGTTAACTTGATAAAATTTTGAGTAATTTTAATTAATTTATTTGTTTAGAAATGTCTAAAAGTATCCAAATTCATGTCCACAACTGTTCCGTGATAATACTGGCGCTACAGAAAGAAGGGTTCATGAGATTATTTTTGTGATGAAATACTGAAAATCTAAAATTATAGTGGAGGTTCCAGATTTCTGTCAATAACACTGTATCATATCATGGTTGATATTTATAATGCTAAGTAAAAAACTTAATAAAATATTACATACCTCTTATTGATCTATATCTTACAGTATTTGGATGCATCTTTTACACACTCATGAATAAACCAACCAATTACATAAATGTCTATTATAACGAATAAAACTTTATTTTTATTTTTTTATTTTTATTACAATTTTATTTATTTTATTTTTTTTTTAAGTATAGCCTTTTGTCATTATAGTTATTTCTATGTATATATTCATTTTCCAATTCCATTTTGATAGCAGTAACCGGTTTTTTCATCTCATATAAAAGTTTTAATCAAGTATACTAAAATGGTCATGCAAGTGCGTATACGCTCAAAATATCGCGTATACGTGCTTACACAAATTTGTAGATCCCTGCGCCTTAAGCGCCCGAAAAAGAGCGTATACGTTCAAATTTAAGCGAATTTATTCAAAATTAAACGTAAACTTCTTAGAAAATAAAATGTATATGAGTGTTTTGAATTCAATAAAGAGCGACAGTTCATGTTCACTTTCAAATAACCAATAAATAATAAAAATAACTACCTATCTGAATTTCCCTTAAGGTTTTATATTGCCATTCATGTGCTATTCACGTTGGTTACTTGTGGAGAGAACAGGGATTACGATCAGTTACCAGACTCTGTTGCATATCAGCTGATTTTGATAAGGAAGTCCAATCTCCCCAGTAACGCACATATGAAATTATATGTAATTGACGCACCCTAATCTGGGGAGATTGGATTTCCTTATCCAAATCAGCCGATATGGATACATCACGTGAACTTAAAATTATCACTGATATTACTTGATCACCGTTCGCTTTTACATCAACATCCTTATTAAGATATCACCGAATCATTATCACCGTCCTTAAGTTCATCGCTTTATCATCACCCTTAACAGCATTGCCCGTCATCGCATTACCCATCATCATCACTTATTGATATCAAAGTATTCATTCTATCGTCCAATTGGTCCGGTATGAAGTTTCGTACTGTATTTTGATTTTAAACGTACTGTACTGTACTTAAATTTAGGAGTACTATATTATATATCTTACAGTACACACCTTTTTATATGATATAAATATAAATGCGTACTTATGGTATGTTAACCTTTTTTAATATCTTGACGAAACTTTTATATGGTGCCGCCAAAGGAAAATGAGGTTTAAGTTTATTGCTTACCGGATTCAATCTAATTTGTTAGGGATTGTGATCGGTAAATTATAAATTTGAAATCCTGATGATAGGTGTTCTCTCAATGGCATCCATATATATTTATAGTTTCGATAACGATAAATAATATTAGAACAGGGTGAAACCTGAGTTGCCAAATAGTGAAATCCGCTTTGTAGATCAGGTTAGGGTGAAATCCGCACTTTATTATGTTTTTTATTAATTAAAAGCAGATTTCACCTGTGATGATCATGTTATAAGATTTTAGTGTTATCTTTTCTTTTTTTTTTGTATTAAGGTTAATTATATCTGGTATATATGTTTGTTTTATGGTAAATTTGTTAAATATCCATTGTAATAGTAATATATTGTCAGTTTCTTGTAATAGTTTTTTTTTTTTTTTTTTAAAGAGAGGTCTATCCTCTATCTTTTTTATTTAATAGTTTAAATATACATATATGATATACA